AACCCCCAAGACACTTAAGCTCTACAGAAAATACCGCAAATTTTACTCAACATTTTTGCTCAGTGGGACATCAGCATTTATTTTGAGCTCCATTTATTCATGCTAAAGTTAATGTACAGTAAAATAAGTAGAAGGTGAAAAGCTAGCATCACAGTACGTAGCAGAGAGAACTAACAGACAGCTTCTTAACAAACTTTCTCTCTCTCTTTCTCTGTGTCTCTCTCTCTCTCAAACAAACAAAAATATTTTTTTCTGCCTGCACACTTTTTAAATGTGAACCCCAATTTCCCAACATACATACAAGCTGTCCTTTTTTATGGACAGCAGCAGTTTTTACAGTGGACAACGTGAAATGCAGTGCATGTATGCTATTGCTTTTTCTTAGTGATCTGCAGAATATGCGTTGAAATGAAAAACAAAACCTGTTACATTGTTTTCATTTCACTTGACCTCTTTACTGGAAAACTGGAATTTGTGCTACAATTGAATACAATCCACTTTGAAATGTAATGAATGCACAACTATACTGCTTTCCACCATGCATTAGTACAAACAGATTTGCATTTCCCCAGTGAAATGCAGTCACAACAGTGAAAACAGTGCAATACAATACACACATAACACTGCTTTTCCATCAGTGACATGGAATATGTGCCAGAATGAAAATCAAAACCTCTGCCACACTGTTTTCACATCGCCTGACCCCTTTTTTGTACTTCAAACGTATTTGCCTAATTAGAACCACTAAAATAGTAAAATGCAGTGCACACATGAGATGCATTTAAACAGCAACATGTGGAAAATGTTCCAAATAATCCATTACATTGAGTTAAAGTTTGAGTTCTTTGAAGTACTGCAAGCTGGAAAGCAATGGTCGTACCTTCTTTACACGTCAAGGTGGATTGTTTTAATTTCTGGCACAAATTCAGCTTTTCGTTTTAAATGCAAATCCACGTGTATTGTTTTCCAACAAAGATGTGAAAACAGTGTTGTAGAGGTTTTGCTTTTCATTTTAGCACATATTCTGCACAACACTGTAAAAATATTCGAGCAGAGGAGGATGGGTTCCCCTTCTGAGTCTTGGATCCTCTCAAGGTTTCTTCCTCTTGCTCTTAGGGAGTTTTTCCTTGCCACTGTCACCATTGGCAATGCTTATGGGGGCTTGGACCCGGGTTTTTTCTGTAAAGCTGCTTTGTGACAACGCCTGTTGTAAAAAGCGCTATATAAATAAACTTTGACTTGACTTGACTTGACTATGTGCGCATTGCATTTCACGTTTTGCCAATGCTGCGATTGCATTTCAATTTGGCAGAAATTCTTCTTTATACTCTCTAATTCTTGAAATTATCACCAAAACATCACCGTCAGGATACTTATCTATCACTAACGATATCTGATTACGTTACTTTATCACCCAGGTCTGTTATCAACACATTCTGGCTTTCAGTTTGAGTTTTTGTGCGCAGTAATCTTGCATTTTAAATGCCTCAACCACCACAAGTTGCACCAGTAACACACTTTTTCTGAAGTAAATATGTTAAATTCAATCCCTGGCTGAATCCCCCGCAGCAGAAAGTGCAGCTTTCGCACGAATAGCGACGTCTCGCGTTTGACATTTCTTAAATGTCGGCTCAGCAATGTGACATCCTGATAAATTACGTTGGAACTTTCTACTATTTGACTGTCCAGAATGACGGATCAGGAATGGGCCAAGATTGCCATTACCTAGCCTCCGGCGCTGGGGCCCGCGCGGCCGGGACAGCTGAGAGGAGGCAGTGATGACAGTTCTCCGAGATTTGGCTCGGATGTTTGTTTCTATTGAGCTGCTCTCCCATGATGTGGTGCTGGATATTCCACCCGCAGGGACCTCATGTGCTGTTTCTCTCCAGCTGTCAACTGAATCTGATAGTTTGAGAGAGCTAGGCTTCCTCGGTGGATCTTCCTTCCTGCTCAGCTTTTGTAAAGTAGAAGAGATAAACATGCTAGTGTTTTAGTGTCGCTGTGACAAAGTGGGGGACTTAGGCCTTTAGTAAAACAGTTAAGTTACAATACATATACTGTATCTAGAAATGTGATTGTAGCCTCTTTAAAATCTGCAGAAAGTTTATGAGTGAGAGAGGAAGAATTAAGCAAGTGAGCGGAGTGTGCATGCAGTTCTTATGTAACAGGAAAGCTGTGTTATTCATTTTTGACGAGTTTACAGTGTGAAACGGTAGATAAAGGATTAGCTTAACAAGGCGGTCCTGCAGAGGTTTTAAAATTGCACTGGAATTAGGCTTGTTTTACAGGGATGTTTATAATGATGCTGAGGTTTGAGGCTGACAGGAAAATGTGGCTAATAAACAGTCACTTACTGACAAATGTTCACTACAACATTAGGTGGTAGTGCAAGTCTGGATGGAGTTTATGTGTCAAAGTTACACTGTTCACGAAGTGACAGCTGCGGTCTCTTTATTGCTGGAAGCTGATATATCCAAAATATCAGGTGGCCGATAATACTGACTGTTATCGGACAGGGTCAGTAAACGTTGTAAATAACCTGCTTATATCTACAAACTTTTTTGGGCACGGCGTTGCTGAGATTAGGCCTGTCTCCACTGTTAGACAACGGCGGTTATTTGAGCTGATCGCAATTATTAAAGATCATCTCAATTACTTTCCACAGTTGTTAGCTCAGGCTCTGAATTGGGTGTGTTGTCATCAGTTGGTTTAAAGCAAATGTGTTTAAAGAAAATAAAGCAGAACAGGAATTTATTGAGAAATGTCATAACAGTTCTAACTTCTCAGTGCTGCTATGACACCTTTAGAGGGCGGCGGTGACTAATGTTTGTTTATTTGATGTTTGTTAATAACATCTTTAGAGGGCAGTGGTGTGCAATGTTTGTTTATTTGATGTTAACACCTTTAGAGGGCAGTGGTGAGCAGTGTTGGTTTATTTGATGTTTGTTAATAAAACCTTTAGAGGGCGGCGGTGAGTTATGTTTGTTTATTTGAAGTTTGTTAACACCTTTAGAGAGCAGTGTTAAATAATGTTTGTTGGTTTGCCCTCAAGCTGTTTCCGTAGTCCGTTGGGAGTGACTAAGCATCGATAGCTCAGAAGTAACGTAGGTAGTCAGCCTTTTTCACCACATTAGATTTGTACTTTAATAGTTTGAACAAAAACAGCTATTAAATTGTTAATCACAGTTATTCATATGGAAATTCATCGTAATCAGCAAATCTAGGGATGCACGTAGTCACTGAAACATTTTGGCTGAAAGTAGCACATTTGGTTTTCACCTAAAAGAGCTAAAAAATTTGTCTGAAAAAAAAACAAAAGATGAAATAGGATTGAATCTAACACTTAATCAATCATTTGACTGATAATGATGACAAAAAGCAGTGATTAAAAACCCTGGTACCTTTGCAGTCATGCGTATGTGAGCACAGACGCGTTCAAACAGTTTGAGCAGTAGCAGATCAACAGTGGGGAAAAAAGACGGCCATGTGGATCTTTTTCTTGGTTTCTGTGTGACGTTAGATTTATAATCACTGCTCATGTATCAGAAGAGGACACTCCAGAACTTCTCCACCATGCAGAAAAAAGCAAAACAACAGAAACAGAAAGGAAAATCCTCATTAGCACACCAGCGCCATCTATAGCCACAGGTTTTGAACTAATGACAAAAATCGTTTGATGTTGCACGTACTGTAGCCTATAGACTGAGAAAGTTTAACATGTTTATTTAATGTGAACTGGGCTTTGGCCAGGACTTTTCCTTTCAGTGCATCAGTAATTAAGCCCTCTGGGGTCTACAAAAACTGTGTGTCAAATTCGTTGTTTCTGTATATGTTTCTCTATCTTTGCTATAATATAGAGCAGAAATACGTGTCAAACATTTCCTGAATCTGTAGAGTCGTCCTTTCGGTTCAGTCTTATCACGAGATCATACGTGACTCACATCCGGAGTTATGAGCCTGTGAAGAGGGGCTGAGATACACGTTATCTGCCTCTTACTGTGTGTAGTTGGTGGATTTGTGTGTCTGTCTACATTTTGCGTGAACCTGACCAACGGACACATTTAGGAAATCACTAAGGACTGACCCATCACGCCGGAAACCCTTCATTCTTCTTTCAGTCAGCATCGGAGGCACATGTGAAATGGCTTACGTCTGCTGAAGTTGCTGAAAGTAGTGACAAAGCTAACGGAGCATTTTGATATGAACCATAGGGGTATCATGTTATATGTAAGTCCCTTTAAAGGCAAATTTAAGAAGATATGCAAAAATTGAGAAAATGCCCTTATACCCCACAGGGTTAAATATATAAAAAAACGATTATGCCAGGCCTAGTGAGGACTCAAACTTGCAATCTCCCAACATTTGGGAAAAAAATCCTCAGATAGTAGTGCCACTGGGAAACCCACTGTTAACCACCCCCTGTTTAACTGTCTTAGCAATACTAAACTGGTCAATTTGAATGCAATGCACTATCATGGTTTGAATAACAAAAGCATTTAAATTTGTATCCAAGATTTTTAGTGGAACTCAAACTCTTCCTTTTGAAGATAACTTATGAATAATAAGAGGTAATTAACAGAAACCAGGGCTACAATATTTCTATTAAGAGTTTCTGCTGTTTGTTTGCATTTAAGAAACATAAAAATTGTGGTAGTTACAATCAAAGTCTATCAGTAAACCCTGTTTAACTAAAACTATTGGAGTACAAAATAAAAATAAAAATAGAAATATTTAAACTTTGTCAGCTGATGTTATTGGTTAACCGAATTTTCACTTCATTTTTGGGCAACAACCAGGTTTGGACCAATCACAAAGAGGGTTTTAGTCCATATGACGTCTACGTCTCATAGCTTCAACCACCATAACAGCACACACCGCCCTTCCTCTTCATAATGTTCCCATATTAACTGACCTGGTTATGACCCTTTGACCTTTAACCATGTACCTGGTCATTCTTTCTCCCTCTCTCTTCCCCCTTCCCTTTTTCTTTATTCCTGCAGACACTAACTTTGTGCTGGGCAATGCTCAGATAGTGGACTGGCCCATCGTCTACAGTAACGATGGCTTCTGCAAACTCTCCGGATATCACCGTGCGGAGGTCATGCAGAAGAGCAGCACCTGCAGGTAACAGTTAGAAGACTGATTTATCTGAGCGTATGTGAACTCACTGTCCACTTTCTACAGTGTACTTCAACATGCTGGCCAGTCCAAACATATCCAGCCAAGAGCGGCTCTGTGGTCAGAACCTGACCATAGATGGAGGCCTAAAGGATGACTTAAGCAAATTTTACACCAAAATAGTGGATATGGTCTCTAACTGGGTCTACATGGTAGGGGGTTCCAATAAAGTGGAATAAAAATAAATACTCATGCCCAAAGCTCATAAATAGTCATGGGCTGGAGGTTAGGGATCCAGCCCTGTGACCGGAAGGTTGCTGGTTTGATCCCCTGAGCTGACAGTATGAGACTGAAGTGCCTTTGAGCAAGGCATCTATCCCCTAGGTGCTGTGGATAGGGCTGCCCACCACTCTGGGCAAGTGTGCTCACTGCCCCTATTGTGTGTACATTCACTAGTGTGTATGTGGTGTTTCACTGCATGGATGGGTTAAATCCGAAGGTTAAAATTCCCTATTGTGGGGCTAATAAGGGTCACTTAAATTAAAGAATCTCAGATGAGAGCCTTAAAACTACTGCAGAAAACTTTATATACAGCTCTACAAACAAAGCGTGTTGATATAAACCATTTCGAGTCTGAAATAACTGAAAAAAGCAACCTGTTGTCCCACTTTCTCCTGACTCTGATTGGCTGCGTCCAGACAGGCAGTCAAAATGAATCTTTGCTCATATCTTACCGACCTAGCATACAAATCTGATCCAGCCATATCAAAATGGACATGACAAATCAGAGCTGAGTGTTGTGCTCCGCTGTCATGGTGATTCTCCAGTAAGAAGAATTTCTGGGATTAGCCTGCTGATGGCTGACTCGTTAAGACGTGATATTTCAGGTCACTTTGCAACATGTGGGGATAACCAGTGAAGCAGGAGAGACCGGGAGAGCTGGGAAGAGTTCAGAAGAGATGGAAAGAAGATCAGTCATCTTCCCTTTATTTTATAGTGATAGTCAAGTCCAAAGTCCAGTTTATACAATTTTCCCTTTACCCTAAATGTAGTCAATCAGCCATAGCAAAGCGTTTGAAGTTACCCTGGACTCGGGCAATTCAGGTTCAAGTCACACTTGAGTCGCATGTTGACTGACTCGCACCTTGACTCAGACTTGACCTTAACTGACTCGCAACTGAACTTGGACTCTATACTAAAGACTTTGTGCTTGATGAAAAAAGCACGGATGTAACATGACACAATAAAAAACCTTTCATTTCTGACCTTCTGATACCAGTGTGCCTTTGTCAGTTTTGCAGCCGTCATGCACATCATTTACTGCAATTCGTTCTCTCGCTGCTCACAGCAGTGTCAGGTTCGGCTTCAAATAACAAGCATTTTCGTATAACCTTCGGTTAGAAAAACCTTCAGTCTGATATAACTGAAGTGCTATATATGCGGCGATTGAAGAAGCTGGCAAAAGTTGAATTTTATAAGACTTAAACAACCAAAAAAGATTTTATATGTTTCTAAAAGTTTTAAAATGTTTGTTTTTGGTAAGTTATTGATAACTTCTGAACAGTTAGCTGATATACTGTCTCTGTTGTCCATGTAGATGTTTATTGAGTGCACAACAGTGAAAGTAAAAGGAACGGAGGAAGAACGATTTTTTTTTGTCAGTGTCAGGTGTACAAGCGTAGAACCTGGGGTGGCCCAGACAAGAAGGCTGTAACTGAGGCCATAATACAAGACTATATCCTTTACATTGGGCATTGCAGTGCATTCTGCATAAATAATATAGCAAGTTTAGCTTAACTGACATACAATTAAATAACAATTAAAGACTTAACCAAAGTTCACAACTAAAGACTCAAGACTGTACTGGCACCCCAGACACTTGAGACTCAACTCAAACTTGCACCTCAGATACTCGACACTCGACTTGGATTTACACCCACTGGAAATTCTCAGACTTGTACCTCAGAGACTCGAGACTTGACTTGGACACACACCCTAGCGACTTGAGACTTGACTAGGACTTACACCTCAGAGACTTGGCTCGGACTTGCATCCCAAAGACTCAAAGCTTGACTTGGACTCTCACTTCCAAGACTTGAGATTTGCCTCAGACTTGCATCTTAGTAACTCAAGACTTGACTCGGACTGTCAGCCCAAAAACTTGAGACTTAACTGGGACTCACATCCAGTGACTCAAGACTCGACTTGGACCCACACCCTAGTGAATTGAGACTCCACTTGTACTTGCGGCCCAAAGAATCGAGACTCGACTCGGACTTGCACCACAAAGACTCAAGACTTGTCTCAGACTCGCACCCTAGTGACTCTAGTGACTTCAGAGACTTGAGACTCAACTCGGTTTGACAGTCAAGTCCAGACTCAACTCGGACATGCACCCTAGTGAATTGAGGCTTGACTCTGGCTTTACGCCGCAAAGACTCCAGACTTTGTCTCGTACTGGCACCTCAGAGACTTGGACTTGCACTCCAAAGACTTGAATCTCAACTTGGACTCGCACCCCACAGACTCAAGACTTGGACTCACACCCTAGTGAATTGAGACTCGACTCAGACTCGCACTGCAGAGAATAAAGACATGACTCAGACTCGCACTGCATAGAATTGAGACTCAACTCAGACTCGCACCGCAAAGAACTGAGACCTGACTTTGATTCACACATGAAAGACTCAGGAATTGACGCTGACTTGGATATAGTGAATTATGAGCATCTCTGCTGGATCTGTGAGGCAGTGTAGCTAAGAAGTAATGGAAGCTTATCCCCTATGAAACTGCATGCCTTAAACCACGTCAGTTTGCAATTACAAATCAGTTTTCTTAAAAATGGACAAGCAGAATTCAGGCTTCAAGTTGCTTTTAGCTATACAGCAAATGTTGGTCCATTTTTATAGATAACAATTTACGAATAGTGTAATCTGATAACAGCTGATGGAGTATAAGCTTACATTTTTACTCGTTCGCTACATTAGCCTTGTAGCTTCAGTGCAAAACCTAAAGAAGTGCACCTCAGACACCAAACCTGTCTCGGCCGACTGACTACATTTGAGGTAAAGGGCAAAACTGCACAGATGTGATATTTGGCCAAAACTTTAATCTTTGAGAGAAATTCTGAGTCTGAGGTTTGTAGCAGCTGTGCCACCGTATGTGTGGTTCCAATAGTGTGTATGTGTGTGTGTGTGTGTGTGTGTGTGCGTGAGTGTGTGTGTGTGCACGTGCAAGAGAAAGACAGACAGACAGATAGAGAGAATGGCCTGTTCTCACCAGCGCTGATGCAGAAGCAGGCTGATATGCGTCAGGTTCACCTCTTGCCTAACACACAAGACAAGCTCATTACAGTCACAGCCCCTGCGCTGTTCAAAGAGAAACTTTATTTTTAGAACCCCTGGAACAGAACATTCCCCCATGTTTCGTTCCCCATCTCTCGCTCTCCCTTTCTCTTTTTAGCATCTCTTTACACTTTAGCATTTATTTGTCCCATCTTTTTCTCTCTCTTTCATATTAAAACTCCTGTTTCTAATTAGTTAACGGCTGCAGATGGAATAATCTGATCAGCATACCGTGTACTTTCAGTCTGTGTACACAGCTTCAGTCTAATGGGTAAACAGAAAGGCTCTTATAAGCTTTCAGCCGTGCTTCGAGAGAGAGGGAGTTATAGAAACAATTAAAGAACGGTAGTGTCGGAATGAGTACTGATTCAGGCTGACAAGATGACACAAGATGACACACTTCTGCACCTTGTGATGCACAATTACTGTGCACAAGTTATGGCAGGTTTTGTATTGTATATTTTAAAGGAAACCTCATATCTCCATTTTGGTCGTTTTTCAGTGTTTGACATAATTTGAAAATGCATGTTGTCCTTTATTTTGTTTGTAAATTTCATGATGAATGGGCCAAAAGAAATGACAAAAAATGACTTTAAAAAAGTCTGGTTCCATTGACTTACATTAAAAGTAAAGTAGGTTTTTTTCTTCTCCTGTAAAGTTATCATTTTGGAGATACGAGATTTTCTTCTGACAACAGCGTTATATTTTCAATGTATTAAACTCAGCAAACAAATACAAATTGTGAAAATCAACAAAACATCTAATGTAAAGTATTCAAACCTTTGCATTTGACTGTAGTTATATCTTAACTATGAGCATGAAAACACTCTGTGTACATAGAGCTGCATTTACACCTACAAGCTGGTCCCCATAAAGTAAATCTTGACATTTTAAGATGAAGACATGTGTCAAGCTTAGTTTTAATGTTAGGGTTAGTGTTAGGCTAGTAGTTATAGTTAAGGTTTGGGTAAGTCTCAAGAAAATGAATGGATGTTGTTGCAATGTCCGCACAATGCAGAAACAAACGTGTGTGTGTGTGTTTAATATTTTGTTTGGTTTATTTGCATGAACTGAATGTTCCCACAATGATAAGAATGCATGAAAATTCTGACATTATGGGGATATTTCACATTTGACACCGACCAAATAGGAAAAGTTTTAAAACTTTAAAAAGTCCATTGTTAAATAGGATTCATTATTAATCATGTTTATATTAAAATTGCAGTTTGAACGAGTGCAGTTTTCTAGTCTCAAGAGCTGCAATTTTAATTTATAGTCTATTTTATCAACACTGATGTCTTAAGTGGTGTTAAGTGGAGAAATTTAAGCTGATATCACAGAGCTTATATATAGTGACATCATTAAAGTCTTCAGAGGAGCCAAATTCAAAAGCTGGATAATGTTTGGTTTTATTCAACATTGATAATTTGTTGTTTTCTTTATCTTTAACAGTGTCTGTCGATCATGACACGTAGACCCTGTCGCACAAAATACATAGATAAATATGACTGTAGTTATAGCTTAACTTTGAGCATGAAAACACACTGTGTACATAGAGCTGTATTCACACCTACAGCCGAATCTGTCTATGCAAGGCAGCTTTAGACTTTGCCTGAAAGATTTTTGCTTATATGTTTGTGTTAGACTAAAAGATGCAGCCCTCTGCTCTGCACTGATTGCACAATTGATATTTCATAACCGAATCTGCGGCTGGTGTACTGACTGTGCTTATTGTGAACATTTTTCATCAATACCCTTTTAATGGACCTGTGAAAAACTGCGACCCAGGCTAATGCTGAGCTGCGAGTAGTTTGATTTGCATTTTCAGCGAAGCTAAATGCCTGCTGTCATCTCTTTCAGCTTTATGTACGGGGAGCTCACGGACAAAGACACGACGGAGAAAGTTCGGCTGACGTTCGAGAACTATGAGATGAACTCGTTTGAAATCCTGATGTATAAAAAGAATAGTGAGTACCGAAGCCGCAGCTGTGCACGCACACACACACACACACACACACACACACACACACACACACACACACACACACACACACACATCCATCAGGTCTGCGAGTATTAGGAGCAGGAACACAGCAGTCCTAGCATTACGCTTTATTATGCTAATGCTGGTAGCAAACCAAATGAATATTCATGAGCTTGTTCAGTCTTAGCAGTGTGTTTACTTTTGTAGAGAAACAACTTCTACAGTAATAATCTGTCGACAACATGGGGACAATGACTACTTGGCAGAGACATGCTGCTTTGGCCTCTGTGTTTGTGTGTGTGTGCCAGGTTTATACCACGTTGTGGGGACCAAAGCCTGTTTATGCACTAACTTTGTGGGGACCTTTCTTCCTTGTGAATAATATAAATCATCAAATTTTTAGGTAAAGACATTTTTTAAGGTTAGGGTAATAATACAGGTAAGGGTTAGGGTTAGGTTAGTAGTTACAGTTTAAGTTTGGGTAAGTTTGCAGAAAATTAATGGAAGTCCCCACAATGCAATTGTGGGTGTGTGTGTAACTGAATTTTCCCAGAATAATGGGAATGCATGAAAATTCTGACATATAGGGATATTTCACATTTGACACCTACCAAAGAGGAAAGGTTTTCAAACTTAAATATATTAATTCAAAGTGCCTCGTTTACTTGGGCTGAAAGATTAATCGTGTTTATATTAAAATTGCAGTTTAAAAGAGGGCAGTTTTCAAATCTCAAGAGCTGCAATTTTAATTTATTGCCTCTATTTTCAGCACTGATGTCTTAAGTGGAGAAATTTAAGCTAATAACACAGAACTTGTATATGTTTAGCCTGAAATGTTACACCCCATCACATACCCCTCCACCACACTGTCAGTATGAGGGGGTCAGGATTGGATTACTGACCAGACTTTTGGGGCCGGTGTCCAGAGGTATTGGCGGTCTCAGACCAAAAGGCTTGAGAAAGGTCACCATACTGGGGACAGTCCATTGCAGATGTAAATTAGATGAACAGGTAGCCTATGAAAATGTACTAAATGAATGAAATAAATAAAAGAATGTTGTCCGTTTTCAGGTCTTTTTTCTATTGTTGCCATTCAAATGAAATGTTAGCGATTACTGCTCAACTTCTGTTTTTGCATTACGAGTCAGTTTAGCTTGAAAGAAAAAGAGAAGACCTCCTGATTCAAAACCTGCACAAAAAAAGTGTTCAAATCCTAAATAAAATCTCCAGATCCTACAAAAAGTCAATATGTGGACACAATATGATGTTGCACATTAATTTTGTTCATTTTATAGCAAAAACCAGGTACATTTGCAGAGCTTCCCAAAATGCACATGAAACATGAATGTCAATGTGGTTTAATATCACTTTTCAGGTCTTTTTTAAAACTATTTTTCTGTCGTTTTTTGTATTTATTATGCATATTTGTTGGACTGCAGGACTCCAAGGACACTTGTGCCCAAGGGCCTCATGAAACCACCATCCGTCCTTGGATAGGGTGGGATTTCTTACCGTTGACACTGAAATATAAAAATGCTTACTGAGGTGGCAAATCTGTTTTTTTTGGCTAAGAAAAATATGAAACTGTGGAGGAAAAAAGTCTGATTTCTTGATATTGGCTTAAAGATGTCTCAGTATGCGCTAATGTCCTAGCATTGGCTAAAAAATCTAAATGAAAACACAGACTTACTTTGCTCTGCTTTAAATTTTAGCTCAACTAAAGCCACTTTTCTCGCACCTCTGACAGGAAACTTTTCCAAAAGTCCAAAATGTCTTTCAACATTCCATTTTTTACGAGGCTGAAGTTGCTTCTCATTCACCAGCTTATTGTTTGAATTTTGCTGTTCCACCTTAAATGGTGCAAGAACAGGAAGATTCAAGCAAGAAGCTGGTGGATGAGAAGCCAACTTTTTAGTGTTTGAAAGTTTCTCATTGCAGAGACAAATCTCTAGGCGAGATTGTTGTTTGCGTTGCTATGTGACCAGCAGTCTGTGCTGTGCTGTGTGTTAAAGGGTGAATTGGCAGTCATACATTAACTTCAGCATTAACCATTTATTGTTAAAACTCAGCAGAGCTTTATTTTCCAGAGCTTTTGTTATCCAGAGCTGCATGTTGCCGACCCTTGAGCTAAAAGAAGGTATAGGCAATATGTAATTATGGTGCAGCTGATACATGTGAATCTGCTTTTGTTTGTGTTTTTCTCAGGGACGCCAGTGTGGTTCTTTGTAAAAATTGCTCCCATTCGGAACGAACAGGAGAAAGTGGTGCTCTTCCTTTGCACGTTTAGCGACATCACAGCTTTCAAACAACCCATAGAGGACGACTCTTCCAAAGGTAAATGCGATCTAACACGTCTGACAGTCACACTGATATCATAGGCTTCTTTCCAAGTTGTCTATACACTCTCAAAACTGATGGCCACTAATTTAATGTGTTATTTCTAACACGTCTGTTTGTCCAGTTCAGGTGATACATTTTGTGTCACTTTCAATACAGCAGTGGATTAGCATCACATTTAGGGCTGCACATTAGTTGACAGAGTTGATTAGTTATTGATGATGTTCATTATGAAAAAATTGCTTTGTAATGTTCATTTGATTTATGGTCATTATGGCAGACTGCAGTGATCTACAACAGTGTTTCTTAATGAGTTGAAATGCACCTTTCATTTCTGAGAGATTGAAGGACGCAGATGGTGCAGCCTTGAAGACCCCTTAGTCACCCACAATCCCTCACGTGCAGACGGAAACAGCTGGCAGGATGCTGCAGCACCAGAGTTTGGAATTTAGTGTTTGAAGATCAAAATATGTCACAGTGCATTTAATATCGTCAAAACATAAGGATTGAATATCTGAACCACCACTATTGCTGCTTGAAAATCTCTTACTGCTAAACCTGAAGGGGAAGAGTCTAATTTCTTTATTTTGCTCTGCCCTGTATATGATGTATGATGAGGAGTCCACCACTGACAAGCTAGAGGCATGGAGACTAGGGGTGTGTCTCAGAACCTAGTGAGCTCTCTAAGTAGCCACTGTCTACATAGGCAGCTGTCTAAGTATGCAGCGTTCCAACCGTCATCTATCCTTATAAGATAGATAAATGAGACGCTCTAGTTAGACAGCAGTGACGTCGCCGCTTGTTCCCGCCCACTGCACGAGACCGGCGTTTACTGACCTCAGCCGTCAGAATCACATTTAGCCAACACGGATCTGCTCTGGCGGTTTATATAGCGATTTTAACTGTATTTGCTCTGAATGAAACAGCAAAATAGACAATAGTTGTGGTCAAACACGGAAAGTATAGGCTATTTGTGCACCTTTATGACTAGAAAACAGATAAATACCCCAGAAAATCAGAATAACTTACATTTGAAGATGATGTCGCTGCTTGGTGAAGCGCTTCTGCCCGCCATCTTCAAACAAAAGTTGCGCCGCGCTGCATCGCGGGATTGCCTCAGCGGCTGAGGAGACATCCGATGCTCTCTAGATATTTGGCCAAAATGAGAGACCTCAGTAGGCAGCATATTTGAGATATCTAAGAATTGGGACAGTCTTCTTGTCGGGAGCGACATATTGTGACGTAAAATGCTGTCTATGTAGAGAGCTCACTAGGTTTTGAGACACACCCAAGATGTTCAAGAGGTCAAACAGAAGCTGCACCTGTAAAAGCCCAAAAGCACTCCATTATTACAGGAACAAAGCTATTACAATATAAATGCTTAATGAGAACGTACATTACGCTGGTCAGCCGTTGGTCCTCGGACACTTGTATCAAATGTTTACAACAGGGGTGCACAACTCCGGTCCTGGAGGGCCGGTGTCCAGCACAGTTTCGTAACTCAAACACTCAAACACACCCAGTCAACCTGGCAATAAACAGATGAGTGTAATCAGTTCTGTTTGTGCAGTGAAATCACCAGATTGTGCTGGACACCGGCCCTGCGGCAACAGAGTTGTGCACCCTGGTTTAGAAGGAAAGGATACTTCATTTTACTATTTCACAATTTTAGATATCATGTGAACAACTGTTTTCCCTGCATTTTGGACAGTCCCATACGCAGAAATGCAGGAAAACAGTTGTTCACATGATATCTAAAATTGTCAAGGTGCCTCACCAAGCAAATCTGTGTTCTAGGTATTTATCCAAAGAACTTTATTGTTAGTTCAGAACACATAACTTTAACTGAGTTTGGGCTCCTGTGGGAGAATGTGGAAAAGTGTGGAAACCTTTATAAGAGGTTTTTGGAAGTCAAGGTGCGCAGTCATACCGAAACTGCTGTGTTGCTGAGTGTTTTTGTTGTTGTTGTTGTTGTTATTTGTTAGTGTCTTTTTGTTTTGTTTTGCTTTATCACTTGTTAAATTAGTAAAATATGTGAACTGCTGCACTTCCTTTTCTGTAACAATGGTGAAAACCATGGCTACAAGTTTCATTGTTCAACTTAAGTATTGTTATCGTGCTTTTTTGTCTTTGTGTGAGAAATACGTACACAAATTGAATAAAAAATATAAAATATGTCACAACGCTTATAAAAGTAAGCTGTGACATTTTGGTGCAGTCAACTGAAGGCCAATTTATAGTCCAGGTGACGAGCGTCGCTCAGCAAAAAATAATGTAAAAGTGACTAAATTTGTGTCCGCTAGGGTGTCGCAGTCCTCGTCATGTGCATCAAAAAATTTAAAAGGGCGCAGACGCTGTCGTGCACTCTGATTGGATAGAAACTCGGAGTTCTACGTTCTGGATCGTTGCCATGGTCATGTTGTACAGCTATGTTTACTTTCTTGCTCTTCCGATGCTTTCTGAAACAGAACGGGTTGCCAGCTATCCAAAACTGGGATCAACATATGTTTATATGATGATTTGTTTTCATTTTCTAACGTTTTTTTTCGTGACTGTGATTCCTTTAAATAGTAGTCCAAGAAGAAAACGCACCCTGTGACTGTGTAATTTCCCCACACACTGCACTTTTAGACTAACTGGGATTTTGGGAAAAACTGTGAATCTGGCAACCGAGCATGACGGAGAAAGAGCGTGAAACATAAGTAGTATTTCTAGTTGCCGTAGCGACCCTGCAGCTTCAAATCCTACTGTTAATGCGGTTTGACTGTAGCAGCTGTTTTCAGACTGTTCTGTGTGGATTCTCTGCTGCTTCTTTAGCTGCATCGTCATACAGTTTTTCATAGAAACTGCAGATGATGTTCTTTTCCGGATGATCTAAAAAGCAGCATTGTCTTATTTCAGACCTTTGACCGCTTATCAGAGCTGCTTATTTCTAGACTGGAACCAGCTTATTTTAAGATTTCTTGTCAAGTAAAATGATATTGCGTCATGGACAGATAATTTTACTAGTATTAAGTTATTACATACTCATATTCTGTATTTATTTCTTGTAGGACCAAGAAATTCTGTGATTAAAGGAATAGTTTGATAGCATTAACAAGTCCTCAACAGGCAAAACAAACTCAAATATGAGTTTTTTTCTGCAGATTATTGTGCACAATTTCTGTGGGGACAAAACATAAAACATAAAATGTTCCATAACTTTTGCTCCAGCCACATTTTATGTTTGTTTTTTCAATATATTAAATGCAGATGAAAATAAACAGTAATTGTGCAATAAAACATATGTGTATCCTCTATAGAACATGTGTTATTTTCTTACTTTTAAGTTTAGTTATGTGCTTGACAAATTTTATATACATTGTCTTTTCAAATATGCAAATTAGTCAATAGATTAATTGATCATGGAAATAAACTCTAGTTAATACACAAAGATAGATTCAAATTGTGTGTCCTTGTGACACAAAACGTGATATAAAATACCAATAACACAAATCCTGTGTTGTTAGTTTCACATCATTTTTAAAAGCATGTTAACAATCTTGTCCGTGTGTGCAGGTTGGGGTAAATTTGCACGCTTGACCCGAGCTCTGACCAGCAGCAGAGGAGTTCTCCAGCAGCTCCAACCGACCGTACACAAAGGAGAAAACGTACATAAGCACTCCCGGCTGGCTGAGGTATGCCGTGCATGTGTGCACCGTACACATACAAACAGCGGCATAACGTAGATCCCCATGACAACAGCAGCGGCACAGCATCCAAGATCAAACTGTTAGGATTCATACAATACAGCCCTCCTCTCTCTAACACTGCCTCAGCTCTCCAGCTCTCGTTCCTAAAAGAAAGCACTGAGATGAAAAGAGCCTATGGCATATGGTCTGTTTCTATAGTTCTTGAATTAGGGTCATTTCACACTGTACAACAGAACAAAAAATGAAACCAAAAAGCACTGAAGCGTTTTCTGTCTTTTCTTTCAGATGAGAGTTCTACTGCGTTGCTCTTCTAGGCGTCTCGATATCAAAGCATCACTAGATATCAAAAAACTTCGAACAGTAACGCAGAAGTTCCTCACATCAGGCAAAAGTTCTGGATCGATAACAATGTCAGCACATCAGTAGCCCACTAGGCAAGCAGGTGCAGGTGGTAGTTATAGTATTTTTATTTAAAAGCCACTTATTATGTGACGATTCCACCAAGACAGGCTGGTTCTTGTGCTGCCCTGCAGTGCTTGTTGGACTTCTTGCTTCCCGTAATTTGTAATTACAAAGTCATAAAGTTCTTATAAGAAAGCTTATTCTCTCATTGGCCATCATGGCATCTCCCTTAGGCAGTTATTTCCTCTCATATAAACGCGTACTCCTGGGGTGTGTCCCAATACCTAGTGAGCAGGTTTAAATATGAACAGTAAATATGTAGCAGTTTAAATAAGCAGCATTTTTGTGCAGCATTGAGTTCTTCAAGGGTTCTCTAGTAAAAAAAAAAAAAACCTTAACATGATTAAATAGTTCTTTGCATCGTGAAAGTGTTCTTCAGATTGATGGGACAGTGTGTTTTATATGATTTTATACAGAACCTTTTTGAAAATGGTTCTATACAGCACCAAAAAAGGTTCGTTGTTTTTACAGGCTTGACATCATCACAACAGCCAAACCCTTTTTGGTGCTATATAGAACCCGTCCAAAAAGGTTCTATACAGAACCATATACCAAACATTCTTCATCAATCTGAAGAACCATTTAATGACGTGTGATCATGCAAAGGATTTTTTGATTGTTCATGGTTCTGTATAGAACCATTATCTTTACTAAATAACCCTTAAAGAACCAGCATTTTTAAGAGTGTATCTAAGAAGTGAGGCAGTCTTCTTGTCTGAGGTCGCACATTTTGATGTGAAATGCCGTCTATGTAGAGAGCTCACTAGGTTTTGAGACACACCCCCTGGCTTTCTGAATGGAGAGAGAACTATAAACCTCGAAGTGAAGGTTACAGTAACGTTCAAAAGCATGGCATGCGCCATCCCCCGGGCCCCGATGACGGCCGGGAGAAGGAGGGTGGGGTCTGAACTCCATGCAAGGACGAAGCCCTGCAAGGAAGGCGGGGAAAGGAGAACCGCGAGTGGGGGGCAGCGTGCAAATCCTGAACACCACCAAGGGGCGCAAGTGACGGCAGTAGGAGGACGTCAGCCACCAGAGATGGGACGCCAACGGCCATGAGAGGCACGAAGGCGGGATGCGAGTCCCGAGGGGGACGACCGCATGCCATAAACATATTTAATTACTGGTAAAATCAGACAAAATAGCAACTAGTTTGTTGGCTCAAATAATAAAAAATAATTGTTGTACACAACATGGGTGGTGTTTCTCGCTTGCCTTACAAACAAGGCGATTGGCTGTTTTTATTGAAGGGCAAGACTCTATAATACGTCCCTATGTTGAGTGTTATTAACTGTCCCCCTCATTTCTGAACCAGTGAACTGTCTCCTCCACTTGTTATAATGTCTTAACTGCTTTGTAGGGAACATATGCATCTCTAATTTTAGCTAGTTAGCTAACCTGGTCTGGCTGTAACATTTAGCCTCATTGTGAAAATGTACGGTAATGACAAAAGTCACCCATCATTGATTTAATTTCTAGTCAAAATGACCATTAAGTACAAGTTACCTATTCAGCTTTCTTTCTTTTCAGGAGACTTGCTTTCAGTTTTGCTTTCAGGATTTCTGCTGGGATATTTTCCCACATGTTCATAGTTCAGTCTTAGAAGTTGGTTGCATTTTTTGCTTTTCGTGATCCAAGTAAAAGCCAAACGTATGTAGTGATGTTGAGGTCTGGACTCTGGGGTGGTCAGTCCATTGCTCTGAGAACAGCAGCAGCTTTGTGGTTTGATGTCTCCTTTTCTCAGTGAGGTTCTTCTTGGCTGCTACACATCCTTTCAGACCCACAGCGCTTAAACGTCTTCTCACAGTGGAAGGATGGACAGAAACACCTGTGGATGTTTTCAGATCTGAAGCAGCTTGATTTTCTCCTCTCTCTCAAAGATGGAAGCTTTAAGTGCTGTTTATCTGATGGGGACAGTTTTGGTGGTTTAACACGTCTTACATGGTTGTTCCATTTTCTACACCTTTAATCATTTTTTTGGGAAACCCTACTGTTTTTTTGTGGACCTTGATGCAGTCAACAGTTACACATGCAAGCAAATTCCTAGGGACTATTTGGCGACTACTAACATAAGTTGCATTTAGAAAAATAAAGAATGACCACTGCACTCACGGCACTCACCCCTTGCTCTAACTGGTTCCCTTACAGGTGCTCCAGCTGGGCTCTGACATCCTCCCCCAGTACAAGCAGGAGACACCCAAGACCCCGCCCCACATCATCCTTCACTACTGCGCCTTCAAGACCACCTGGGACTGGGTCATCCTCATCCTCACCTTCTACACGGCCATCATGGTGCCCTACAACGTTTCTTTTAAAACCAAGCAGAACAACGTCACCTGGCTGGTGGTGGACAGCATTGTGGATGTCATCTTCCTGGTGGACATTGTGTTGAATTTTCACACCACATTCGTGGGGCCGGCCGGAGAGGTCATCTCCGACCCCAAGCTCATCCGCATGAACTATCTGAAGACCTGGTTCGTCATAGACCTGCTGTCCTGTCTGCCCTATGATGTCATCAACGCCTTCGAGAACGTGGACGAGGTCAGTGTGATTGGGGAATTGAAATCTAAACACTTTCTTATGCTCAGTTACAGTGCTGACATTTCTATAATACTGATTTGAGGCTGCTACATAATACTAATGACAACACCTTGTGAAATGTATTAATGCGAATGATGGTGAGAAAGAGTTGGATCATCGGAATAAATGTGAGACTTTAGTAGCAACCTGTTTTCAGATAACTTGCCTGTGCACCTCCCACATTGGTCTATAAAGCGAGATTTCCTGCTTTATAGACTAAAACCCCTTTCTGATGATGTTTCTCGAAGGTGGATGCAAAGTTTGGAAGACTGCAAGTGCTTTGGGGTCGACACTCGGAGACAGGCTTTTTGAATATTTTCACTAGTTGGCTAATTGTTCAACCAACCAATTAAGGTTAGCATCACTAATGCTAGCTCGCACACATACACCGATCAGGCATGACATTATGACCACCTCCTTGTTTCTATGCTTATTGTCCACTTTATCAGCTCCACTTACTATATAGGCGCACTTTGTAGTTCTACAGTTACAGACTGTAGTCCATCTGTTTCTCTGCATACTTTGTTAGCCCCCTTTTACCCTGTTCTTCAGTGGTCAGGACCCCCATGGATCACCACAGAGCAGGCACTGTTTGGGTGGTGGATCATTCTCAGCACTGCAGTAACACTGACGTGGTGGTGGTGTGTTAGTGTGTGTTGCGCTGGTCTGAGTGGATCAGACACAGCAGTGCTGCTGGAGTTTTTTAACACCTCAGCGTCACTGCTGGACTGAGAATAGTCCACCAACCAAAAATATCCAGACAACAGCGTCCTGTGACCACTGATGAAGGACTAGAGGATGACCAACACAAACTGTGCAGCGACAGATGAGCTATCGTCTCTGACTTTACATCTACAAGGTGGACTGACATGGTAGGTGTGTCTTATAGAGTGGACAGTGAGTCTGATCCACTCTTACCAGCACAACACACACTAACACACCACCACCACGTCAGTGTTACTGCAGTGCTGAGAATGATCCACCACCCAAACAGTGCCTGCTCTGTGGTGATCCATGGGGGTCCTGACCACTGAAGAACGGGGTAAAAGGGGGCTAACAAAGTATGCAGAGAAACAGATGGACTACAGTCTGTAACTGTAGAACTACAAAGTGCACCTATATAGTAAGTGGAGCTGATAAAATGGACAATGAGTGTAGAAACAAGGAATAATACATCATAATGTTATGCCTGATCAGTGTATGTATTTCTTTACACAGATCAGTGGCTAGCAGCCAGGATTTGTTGAGCACTGTAGGGATTTCCAGTAGCTGTGTGATGTCTGTGCATAATGCATGCTGGGTATTGTAGTTAGAGAACACTAATGGACAAAAAGATGAAAACGATATAAGATCATAAACTATGTTAAACAAATGCTGAGAGATGTAACAGCGGGAGCGCCACAATAATCCATCCCAGTAGCTAAGTAAGTTCTAGACTTACCAAAGACACTCCAACAATCATTAGATGGCAAAAGGACAAGTGGCCTATCACTTACAGCTTATCACTCCATTTGCTCAGATGATTTTAATGCTAAAATGCTTTTGAGAAACTGAGCCAGGATCAGTACTGAAGAGGCAGTTTTGGAGGAGCGTGGTGTGTGATGTTGGTGATGAAGATTTATCAGAGGCATGTTGTAAATGGATATGTATGTATTCATATAATGATGAGAACAATAGTAAGTGCTAGCCTTAGCATCTGCAGAGAAAGAGCAATAGCATAGTAGAGGAAAAAGTGACGGTCAACAGACCAGGAGCCTTTCACAGCCCTTACCGAAGGTAGTGGACAGCTGTGTGAGTGTGCTCAGAGGGTGACATCTGCAGTAATTGCATGCTGTGAGATGCTCTTTTCAGGCGCTTTCCTAGGAAGCATTAGCGCTAGCTGTCAGCACGGATACCAGAAGGAGTAACCTTTTAAACTGATGGAGGACCAGCTGTTCCAGGGTCAGCTTTCTAAAGCTTAAATATTAGGAATGCATCAATCTGGGTACTGGTATTGGGTATCGGTCTGATACCATGCTCATTTACTCATACTCGACTGAACCAATACTAACTTCTGATAGCAGCTGATACCATGTGATGTAAGCCTAGTTAAGTTAAGTGAAGTGACCCTTATTAGTCCCACTTTAGCCAACAGTACGTGACTGAAGTGCCCTTGAGCAAGGCACCGAACCCCCAACTGCTCCCCAGGCGCTGCGGATAGGGCTGCCCACCGCTCCGGGCAAGTATGCTCACTGCCCCCTAGTGTGTGCGTTCACTAGTGCGTGTGTGGTGTTTCACTGCACAGATGGGTTAAAGGCAGAGGGGAAATTTCCCCATTGTGGGACTAATAAGGGTCACTTAATCCAATAATCTTAATCTTTAGGTGGAAAAGTTAAAGCTGCTTCATTCTGTAGTGGTTTGATATCCTTAACGGCGCTGCTGAGATTGCTTGAATAACTTGTTTTAAAGTGCTTCAGTAAAGTGGAAGTGGTCAGAGTTTCGAGAGGGTAGCAGCTGTCGCCGTGTGCCTCGATTTCCCAGAATGGCCAATTACAGCATGCGGAGCCAGGAGGTCAAAGGTCACTGTACAGTGTCAGTCTTATTTTTCTTTGCTGCTGTGTTATTGATTCTGGATATGTTTGTTACAGCATGCATGCAGACACACACACACACACAGACACACACAGAGCCAGAGCAAAGGCAGAACTAAACAGAAGTGACCGGCCTTTGCAACGTTATCAGCCCTGTTTCTCAGGATTGCAAGCCTGTCAGTGAATATCTGCTGGTCTTAATGGATAAAGCATTGCGTTCAATTATAGTCGTGGCAGAAGGTCTCTGACTCTCACTAGCGTGAAGATGCATTAGCTTTAACCCTTAGAGGACCAGAGAAGACTTTACTAAACTGTTTCAACGTGATCACATGATTACATAATTAATTACACATTTATGTATGTCAGGTTCGAATCTGCCCTTCTGACTCTTTTTTGTTTCCAAGTAAAAAATGACGAAGCTTGGCCAAAATTAAGGAGCTCTGTCTTTCGACAAAACAAGACAAAAATCAGATTTCAATCATAGTAAAATCTAAACAACCTGCACTTTCCATGGAGTTTCTGCTTGTTTCAGTGAGTGAGGAATTATTCATATAAATTTACAGCATGACAGTCCCGTGTCCCTTTTGTCTCAAAATGAACATTGGCCTTTTTGATGAGCTTAACGTGGCACTGTGGACAACTGGTGGGCAGGTAGTTTTCTTTTGTCTGTAATTTTATAAAACAACTTCAAAACATGCAGTAACATTAGCTTCAGTTTTACAGTGCATGGGACAGTAAATATGTCTCATATTTGGCAATAAATATAACATCCACATAAAGGAAGCAATGTAATGTTTGTTCATAGGTTTTATTAGCAGTACATGTAGTCTTGGTCCAAATCACTGCCTCATTTATTCTGAGACCTCCCCCGACTGTGATCGGTCCTAATCGCTGCCTCATTTATCCTGCGACCTCCCCCGACTGTGATCGGTCCTAATCGCTGCCTCATTTATCCTGAGACCTCCCCCGACTGTGATCGGTCCTAATCGCTGCCTCATTTATCCTGAGACCTCCCCCGACTGTGATCGGTCCAAATCACTGCCTCATTTATCCTGAGACCTCCCCCTATTGTGATTGGTCCTAATCACTGCCTCATTTATCCTGAGACCTCCCCCAACTGTGATCGGTCCTAATCACCACCTCATTTATCCTGAGACCTCCCTCTAACTGCGACTGGTCCAAATCACTGCCTCATACATCCTAAGAACTCCCCCTGTCTGTGATTGGTCCAAATCACCGCCTCTTTTGTTCTGAGACCTCCCCCTGCCTGTGATTGGTCTAAATCACTGCCTCATTTGTTCTGAGACCTCCCCTTGACTGTGATTGGTCTAAATCCCGTCTCATTTGCTCTGATACTTCCCCCTGACTGTAATTGGTCCTAATCACTGTGTAAGTGAAACCTCTGAGTGTGATTGGTCCACTTCATCAAGTGAGTTTCCAGTGAGTAAGTATACTTACGACAGTGTGTTCAGCGGCAGTTCGGTTTTCTTTGGTTGTTTGTACGGCCAGCTTCAGTGTGTGTAACAGGCTGTATGAAGACTCACAGCACATTTTGTGTGACAACAAATGGAGCGAAAGACTGTCGGTGCATAAACACCCTCCAATCACAAACCCTGATCACAAGTGCTCACTAGAGACACCTGTCTGTATCTCTCCTCATCTCTTTCTCTTTCTATTTCTCTCTCTCTCATTTCTCTCCTTCTCTATCTCTGTCTCTATCTCACATTCTTTCCATCTCTCTCACTTTTCATCTCTCTTTCTGTATCTCTTTCTCCTTGTTTCTGTCTCTCTCTCTCTTTCTCTGTGTATCTCTCTGTATCTCTCTGTATGTCTATATATATATATTTTTGTCTCTCTTTTCATCTATCTGTCTTTCTCTATCTCTCTGTCTCTCTCTTTTCACCTCTCTCTACCCATTTATCTCTTTGTATCTTTCTCTCTATGTCTTTGTATCTCTCTCTTTTTATTTCTCTGTCTCTTTCGTCATCTCTCTCTGTATCTCTGTCTCTGTTTTCATCTCTCTCTCTATCTCTCTCTGTCTCTCTCTCTCTTTCTCTCTCTATCTCTCTCTCTGTATCTGTCTATCTCTCACTCTTTTCATCTCTCTTTCTCTCTCTCTTTCTCTCTCTCTCTCTCTCTCTCTGTATCTCTGTCTATCTCTCTCTCACTCTTCATCTCTCTCTCTCTCACTCTTTTCATCTCTCTTTCTGTATCTCTCACTCTTCATCTCTCTCTCACACTCTTTTCATCTCTCTCTCTCTGTAGCTCTCTGTCTATCTCTCCTCACTCTTTTCATCTCTCTCTCTTTTCATCTCTCTCTCTCTCTCTCTCTCTCTCCCCTCTTTCTCTCTCTCTCTTTCTCTCTCTCTCTCTCTCAATGGGTGTAAGGCT